AATTAATGAATGTCACTTTTCTAGCACTCACCATCAATTCCAACATGATAATGAGATTAAATTTGCCTCATTTACAGTTCTGACCTCGCAAATAATACTAACCAGACTTTCTGCATACTAATAACATCGCAAATTAAACTTTACATATCAAGGTACATACTCTATGACCTAAACGCGATTTTTATTTACCTCAAATTTGGCTCGTAACAAATCCTAGTAAAGCGAAAGTCTACAATTTTTTAGTGTAAAATATTCATGCTTGCTGGAACTTGCCTTCTGGCGTTCCAATAAATTAGTCTGGAGAACATTGTCATAACAGTGAATTAAGAAAACTAAAGCAATTTGCAAACCTAATAGCCTTACATCTCCGAAACAGCCGCATTCATTAAATTAACATCAGAATCGATAGGGCTGTATAATAACATTCTTTAGATTACTGTGTGAAAATGCTTTTGAGGAAACAGAATTATAACAGTGGAGTTACACGATTCCTCATTTTATCCTGCTCATAGAAACTTGCATTTAATAAAGAATTTATTAATTAAACACTAATAAATTCAAATTCTTCTTTTGTGTTTCGCTACTAGATAAAATTAAAACCTTATTAAATCAGGTGCAATACTCCACGATAATATTCAGCTCTGCCCTACGTATATATAAAATGTAACAAGAATGATTGTCGCAACTTTAAAAGGTGACAGAACATGGCAAAAGTAACAATTTTCGTTACGCAATATATGGTTGAATCTGAAGTATAAACGTGAAAGTACAGTTAGTCCGAAGAACATGGAGAATGAAAAATCGTTTTATCACGGATATTTACATGAAAAAGTGTCTGATTATTTACAAGAATTATTCAACTCAACGTCCACTAACAGCACTACTTATATCACAACGAAGACAAAGTGAGTGGTTTAGATTTTGGAAGATGTCCGTCATGTCCCTTTCATTTGCAGCAGCGACGGTAATTCTGTCAACAAGATCTACAACAGAGTCTATCTAAAAGAGTCTCATAAACGAGATTTATCATTGTTGTGATGTGTATTGCAGGTGTATCAAACACTGTTTCTTGTAAATATGCATGATGAATACGCCTTTTCGTTCTCCATGCTCTTGCCGTGTTTCTGCAATCACATTTCATATTCCACAAAACACTGCATTATGAAAATTTTTACTTTTATGGTGCTCTATAATCTCTTACAATTGTTACAATCAATACAGTCATATCTTATATATACTCGATACAGTAAATTTTCACAGATTTCTGCCCTAATTACAATGGTAAAATATACTGCATAAGAAAATGCTATCAATTTGATTGATATATTTCATAAAAACACGCGAAAAAGACGGAAATCACGAATCGAAACGAAATTATAAACATATGAACAGCGACAGTCTTCCCCTCCCCAGTTATTCCGATAAATGCCGAAATAATTACTACCTGTTTCTACTTTACCCAAAGGCACTTAAAAGCTGTTTCCGATCACTGGATCAGTCACATACTCATGCCCGATAAAAAAATTTCAAATTTCGCCAACAGATGTTTGGAATCAGTCATTATCGTCCATTGTTCTGCTTCCCGAATAGGTCAGCATACGCTTCCCATATAAAAAAACTGGGTTTGTAAAATACTCCTGTTTGTATGTATCTAGAATTTATTTTCTTCCCTTTAAACACTGATTTCCGTTCAACAGTTTCTTCTATGATTAATTTCTCTTTTACACTCGATACTTTTCCCACTGTAGTATAAAATGGTAATATTTTTTTTGGAAGTTTCGGCAGCATTTAGCTTTCAGATCTGAAGATAGGGTACAGATTAAATCTGAAAACCTTTTACGATAGCAGAGTATCGTTTATCCGAACTGAATAGGTTCGGATAACAAATTTTCATATTCAAGGAAGAAATGAAACTCCAAAAAATATTAAAACACAAATATATAAATATTTTTTTAAAATTAATAAAATTCTTTAAGCGTAAAAATCATTAAAAAATTCTATAGTTTTCTAAAGGGAAAAAAAAATTTTCAATATTACAAAGTCTGCATATAGTATTATTTAACTGATTATCCTGACGCTCTACGATCAATTTCTAATAATTATTAATTTATTATGATATCAGGTTGGCCTATAGTTTATTTTGAACCATAAATGATAAACTGAACTTCTGATTTCTAATGTCTGTCTGTTCAACATAGCACCGATTATTAATGACCGCACTATTATAAAAACAAGTACGTCCGCAGAGGCAGGGGATATCAATCTGTTACTAAATAATGAAGAATCTATACGTATGTATGTTCCTCGCATAGTAGAAAAGCGGCAGAATCTGTTATAAATTGATAGCTCGCGCAGCTAGGTGGCGCTCCGACTGTTTTGTCTCTGTTGTTATTCTGTAACTTAATTTTAGTTTTGATGGAAGAACAAAGGTGGTAAGCCTAATAATAGTGTAGGCGTGCGTCCAATAATAATGTTTGTAACCATTGTATTACATGTAAATAAATTTGTGTGTATTAATAACGAAGCGGAATCATCACTTACCTTTGGATTTAATGTTCTTTGAACGGGAATGAAATAGTTACCACAGCATCTAGATCTACCAAATTTTAAGCACATAGTCTCCCACCCGAAAATGTGTACATCGAAATTCGAATTTTGAATTTGCGTTTAATTTTTTTCACATATTATAAGAATTTAATGAATTTATAATTAAAAATTCGGTGATTTAAAAACAGCATGTTGCCACTCGGCAAACCGAAATACGTATGATATTAGTATGTCTTTAAAAAAATCGGTCGCTATTGGTACACAAACTAAGAGATTTAATATTAAACGCAGTCCTCCATCTCCGTTACTATTAATTAATTAAATATTACCATTAATCATTATATATATATCTTTTTTATAATAACCATTGTAGGCGACTAGCCGCGCAAGCGAGTAATAAATTATAAAATTAAATAAAAATTAATTGATATAGTTTTTGCTCCCAGCATTTGCTCCCCTTCCTCTTAAGAAAATTTTTCGGGGACGCCTATGCATGGAAATCAGGATTTGGGTAAGTTCTCATAATACCGTTGTTATGTCACAACTTATCAGTAGACCACTTCATGGTTTCTCTAGAGCAGAGTTTCTTAAACTGCGGGACCTGCAGCAGGGGGTCGCCAAAAATTTTACCAGTTTTGATATTTTTTTAGCTTATTATAATAATTTTCTAATTACCAAATAGTTTTACAGAATGTACCTGAAAATAGATAAAGATAAGACAAGACAGACAAAGAAAAAACGAAAACGTTTCGACGCATTCTTTTTATAATATAAACGTTCATTTTACTTGCTTTGCACGTGAAGCTGTCATTTCGTCTGTTATTTATTTAAAATTTTCACATTGTTCTATGTCTTAAAATTATAAATTAAAGTTAATGACGTAAAACTGGAATAGTATATTACAGTACAAGTGAAAAAATTGACAGTTTCACTAGCGCGTATGTTGGATTTGCGTAATGCTTATGAGGTCCCACAAAATTTTCGTAAATATTATTATGGGGTCTTGGGATCGCGAAAAAAATCTCAGAGATAAAATGGAGTCGCGACTGAAAAAGGTTTCAGAAGCCCTGCTCTAGAGGGAAGCTGCATAATTTTGAGCTACTACAACGCCTATTAGCCCTTTTGATTTGTCTCTAGGTTGGTCACCAAAACATGAAGAGAAATAAAATGTTTTTTGTTACAACCATCGTTAAGACGTTGAGTACTTTTACAGCATGAAGTCGATTAGTTCTAGCGGTAGTAGCCCAAACTGAATTTTCATATTTTTCAAAGCTTAAAGTTAAAAGTATTTCAACAAAATCTATTTCTGTTAAATTAACGAAAATTATATTTTTTCGAATTCATACTTTATTCCGACTGTTAACATCATTCAAACATATTTTGCACATATAGCATCATTTTTGCTCATGACTTCTATCATCATTCCACGAAAAGATTTAAAAAAAAAAAAAAAAAAAACTGATGTGAGCTTCGATGAGAACTTCTCGTGGGACTTTTTTTATACGGCTTATTAAAGTAAACACATATTTTTTATGCTTTTAATTTAAACTAATTCCTTGAATTATTCTAAATTAAACGATCTCTCACGGCAAATTGAAAATGACATAAAAAATTTGCAAATTTTGGAATTAAACATCCCGGTCAATTTTTGTCGTATGAGAATTAAAACTTCTCCTAATTTTATTTTTTCATAAACAGTGCAATATTTTCCCAAATATAAGTACAGAAGCCTTGAGACCGCATTAAAAATTAGATTTCGTTATTTGTCAAAAATTATTTTTTTAATTTTATACTGCCAAATCATAAATATTTCCGACATTAAAAAACACTTTATATATAGATATATATATAATGGACAAAAACTTTAAAATTAGCGAATTTTAACTAAATTTCACTTCGAATTTCCTAGGAGATAATTTCCATTTATATTTTCTATTACTCTATTAAATTTTATATGCATATGCTTTGGTACTGAGCCTATTGCAATAAAAACGGGAGGTGCACAACTAGATGTTATAACAATTCATATGAACAATTTTAACGTTCTACAGCTAATCGTTACAGATACATACGTTATGTACATGACATATACATACGTTATGTACGTACAGACGTCACGGTAAAAATTCCTTTCGAATCCATTTTACAATCTGCTTTGCCAAAAAGAGTCCTTTATTCTGTCCGTAAGTATAGATGTCACAAAAAAATCGTCAAAACAGATATTTCCGTTGAAATATGATACCCGAAATTTTTCGCGATTACAATACTCATTTATTTCGTACAAGGAAGTAAGAAATGGACATTCTATAACACACAGTTTAATCTATTAAAAATACTCATGAGATATATACTGATGAGCTAATAGTGGTGATAGAACAACGACTACGGATGAAGAACAACAACAAATACAGAAACAGAAATAACAAATAAAGCATTCATGCAAATAAACTCACCACCATTCCCTTTTGCAGCAATGGACGACAACAAAGATAATAATATCACAAAAACCATTTTCCAAGTGGGATTTTGCTCTTTTCTAAGCGAAAACACATTTCCTAGAAAAGAAAAGAAAAGTCATGACTACAAGTTATAGGTAATCAAACAATAAATAAACTACTGAAAGGGTACGGAATAAATGCTAATGGTTCTCGTGACTTTCGTTTTTATTTATTTTTATCTTGCTCTTGAAAATATTTTATTTATTTTTCATCTGGCTGAACCTGGCGTTTTACACGAGAGATTTTTTTTTTTTTATGGGGGAGAAGGAAAATTTTGCATCTTGGTCATGATAGCACATTATTATTCATTTTTGTTTTTTATAATGTAAAATCATTGTTGTTTCTGTCAGATTCATAACGTTGAGGCATCGAAAATCACCTGGAAAGAATATAATCTTTGAAAAATAACAACAAAGAGAAAATAAAACTTGCTCGATAAAACTGGCCAAAACTTTTTTCCCCTTTCTCCTAATGCCTAACAGAGCGAGGATTTAAAAACAAAAAAAAATTAAAATAAAAAAACAAATCTAAATTTGTCCATCTGTCGATACGGTTCGTAGGGTTGAGCAAAATCGTCCAATTTCAAGGGTACTTATTTCTTTTTTGTTTTCTTTTTACCAAGAAATCAATCGAATAGAAAATAGCTAGAAATGTTTCTTAGGAACTAAAGTTAAATTTTTAACTGTACTATCTCAGAAATCGATTTTTCCCTCTTGCAGAATAAACACAGTTGTCTTATGGATCTTTCTTTTTTAACAAATGGCAATATCGAATCAAGATGCTAAAAAAAATCAATATAACATTCGAGGTTAAAAATCCGACATTAAAGCATTTTATTTAATATGCAGTATCTAAGAAGTTTAAGCCCGTTATACGGTAACTACTTATCACACATAATTCGCCTCTAAATAAAACAAAAATCGCACATAAGAATAAATATATTAATATGGCATTTTTAAAGAAGTCTTTCTATCACTTATTGTAGTATTTTTACACTGCGAAGAATGCGATGTATTCGCTTTCGTCAAGAATCAAAAGCACAGTAAGTTTTAAAAAAATAGTTTATTTTAGGGATTCGATAATCGTTTTTGTATACTTATATGCCAGGGTTAGGCTATGTTATCTATATTCGGTAAATCCATATTGACCAACTGCCTAAGAGCAATAAGAGCAATTCTAGTCGGACGCACTTAGGCTCCGTTCAGACGGCGATACAGATGTCATACAGGCAGGGCTATATGAATAATGCTGAAGTTCCGTTCACACCTGCGAGACAAGATCTAAGCCCTAGCCAATTAGAGTAGCTAAATTTGCGCATGCAAGGATAAGTCTACAGCTTTACCACTCAGTTTTCCCGCTCAATAGGTTTCGCCCGTTCGCTCTGATTGGTCGACTCTTAAACTAAGTCAGCATACGGTTGAAAACTTGGAACTTTATGCCAAAACCCCTAAACCAGTTTTTGAGAAGTAGCAGGGTCTGGTTACTCAGCAACGAAGATCACCTTAAACCAGTTATGACATTTATTCCACCGTCTGAACGAAGCCTTATATGTCAAACTTGGGTTTAAAATATGCACGTTTTTAATTAAAAGAATTATTCGAATTATTCTCAGAAAATGCTATTAGATAGGTTAAATATTTTAAGAATGCCTTCTTACCCCAGAGGTCTCGGAGCGTAAATACTCAATTTCTTTTGCAAAATTTTATACAGACATATCCCTTGTCTTATGCTGCGATTCTTCACGTGTTTGACCATAATTATTAACCATCTTATTCTACAATGTAATTTATTAAAGTATTTTCCTTCCGATGCTTCAGATTCCAGAGTAAAACCCGAACTCACTTCGATTATTTTCTAGTTGATGACAACAAACTAGCTTAGTTTTTTTAACCTCGTTAAAGAGATCTTGAAGTTAAAACGTAAAGTAAAAACTTGCTGCCTTTCATTAAATTACGAAATCTTATTCTTTACATTATTTAGATGGTTAGCTGATTGTAACAAGGCTTTCAAGGGCTCTCTTTCTGTTCTAGGAGGAATACCTTCTTTTGGATATGTATTTAATATGTGCATTTCTTTCGGCCTTACTTATTTTATCAGTATTTAATTCTATGTTATCATTAATATACGACTATCTTGTTAGTGGCAATATGTTTTGTTTTCCTATTGAATTTGTGTGAATGGCAACTATACTCATATTTTCATGTTTATACTTTTGGTACGAAAATAAGAAAAATAATTTCTTAGCCGCACTGTGTTGCAGGCATTTTTCTGTATAATAAAATTTCATGTTTTTTAATGTTAATTAAAGTTTTTATGTTTCCAAAACTCATTCTTTAGTCTATGGCGCCTATCACCTTCACCGAATACTTTCTAAAAGAAAAAGGCTCGCATTTGCCTTATACATGAGGAAAGTCATGGACATGTAACCAGCCAGTTCTTCCAAAATCGAATCCGTTGCGAAGTATTAATAATCAGGACTCTTAGCTATTGGTGACATATTGTTCACGAACCGTTCGTATGTTTTAGTATGCTATAATAAGGACATTAGTAACAACAGAATACAATAGTACAATAAATTACAGAAACGCTCAACAGGAAATGCTTATGGAATCTTCGAGATTCGAATCTAGTTTGAACTGCTAGAAGTCTTATCCACTAATTATATCTTATCCACAATATTAAGATCTTCAACTAACTTTATTTAAGTGCTTTAAAAGAAATAAGAATTAACAGTGAAACTTATCTAATCATTTAACCAATCCAACCAACCTTTTCAAGCAAAAGGAAAGAAAATGAAAAATGGAAATCTTAATTTCGTATGGTCCTTTGGAACGGGAATCCAGAAAACTTTCCAAAATTTTCGCTCATTTTACTCCATCTTTTGTGAAGCAGTCAAAAATCACTGCAAGGCGCAAAATATATTAGTCTCTATCACACTAATGCCCTTCTGCAAAAGACGTAAATAATAAAGACATATTTATTTCGACAGGGCAATGGGGAAATTAGGCCTTTTGAAGACCTTTCAAATAGCCGCGCTAGGGCACTTTAATGCAATCAAAAATGCAAGGTATAGTAAATTCCCGCTCAAACACTTTAACGCCAAACGGTATTTTCTGGAAGAATACAAAGGATTTTCAACATTGGCGTTTAAATTATTTCCAGTGTTTTATATAATTATATTAATAGCCAGAAATTCGGTAGTTAAATTATGCCATTTAGTAATGCCTCTCTTCGTTAAATGCATGAATTTCATTCCCGTCATTTGCTTGACGAAGCTCGAATGTAATAGAAGGGAGGAGGGTGAAGAATTTCTTTCCTTGTTGTTTATTTATTTGAACTACTCTTTGAATTTGGTCCCGTTAAGTAATTGCTAGAAATCCCCGAGGTTATTAAAAGGGATAACTTTGTTTTCTAAAATTGCTGATCGGGAGTTGGGAGAGGATTATTAATTAAATTTTGAGACTTCACGGAAAGCGGTCTTCAATCAAATTTTGAGAGTAATTATTACATGCCGCTCAACAGCTATTTTTCAAAATTATAGCGGAAGCCTGAGAATAGTGGTCGAAGGACCTTTCGCTTTAACAGCTACGTGTGAGTGTTTGTATGTGTACGAAGTTCGTAATAAAATTAAAATTCCTTATTAATCAAACATATTGAGATCATTTTTTAAAATAATTTGAATGATTAAAAATTTTATTAGATTCGAACGCGATTCTTCCAACGAGTATAATAAGGTTAGCTCTTTATGGTAGAGAGATGTGACAAAAGTTTTGTTCAGTTGCCAGATTTTAATTTGCTAGCAGAGTGAAAATTTAATAATTATTTGAATTCTATAACGAGTTTATTTTATTATATTGGCTCCTGTGAACTAAGTTGCCACAGAAATAAATGGCTGTCATAAATGGGGGAATTAAATAATTTGCAATTCGTTTGATTAGTGTAGGAAATATCATTACATCACTTGCGCATTCGATTTGAAATCATTTATTTTGCTCTCTGTTTTGTCCTGTTCTATTCAGAACTGATGTATTTGCTTTGTGTAAGTAAAACTACCTCCTTTGTTACCTGCAGTTAATTTCCATAATGTTCAAACAAAAAGTTCATCAGATTGTGACATATCCAGTGGTTCTTCGTACACTGCGATTGCTTGAAGGCTATAACTCCGTACTTTCAAACATTCATATTGATTTAGGATTAAGAGAATACTAATTCTTAGTGCAAACTACATTATTTGGATTCCTATATACGTTTATAGCTTTATCAATCTTTATCAATTTATAGCTTTATCACCTGGTCAAGCAGTGGCTCAGTAGATAAGACAACAGAAATTTAGTAGTTTGTCCTGGACTCAGTTCTTGATAAGTTTGCTGAAAGGTATATTTGATGTTTTTCACCATTTGTAACAAAAACACAAGCCAGTTTCGCTTAGAAATTCCTCAAAGAATGCATCCCTCGGAAGACATAATTTATGAAAATCAATAGGCCCACTAACCAACAAAAGCCGCCTGGCCAGTATTGTGGTAATGATCCTAACTGTCGTAGCGATGGGCCCGGGTTCGAATCCACCTATTTATTAGGTGCCTCCATAATGAAATGGCCACCACTTCCGGCCCTTGTAATAACGCAAGGCTAGTGAATATTAAATAAAACACCCGGCCATTAAAAAAAATAATAACCAACAAAGCCCATCAGTGGTTGGGTGTATAAAACCACTAAAAATTAAAACGGAAGATTTAGTCCCCAATGACTGAATGCGTTGGTGGCATGGAGTTTTCATCATTTAACCTCTTCTGCACCGAATAGGTTGGTTTAACCAAAGTTGGCCTCTGGCACAAGCCTTAGCATTGCTCATCATAGCTGATACCCGCGCAGTAATAGTTGATGATATATATGCTCAAAGAGCATTCATTCTGGAAACGGTTTTGCGCTATTAAGTACATTCTCCTTTTGACAGAAATTTAAAAAAATGAGACTGCTAACGCACCTACTAAAATATGTATATTTATATATAATGATTTTACTGCATAAATAATGTACATATAATGTTTCGTCAGGTA